CAAGAATATATGGAAGTAATTTGCATAACCTCCCAGAATGCATGATTTTATTTACAAGAAGTAATTAGCATATCCTCTCATTATATATGCATGATATATTAGTAATATTTATAACTGTCAAGTAATTTGCATAACTTCCCATATATGGAAGTAATTTGCATAACCTCCCAGAATGCATGATTTTATTTACAAGAAGTAATTAGTATATCCTCTCATTATATATGCATGATATATTAGTAATATTTATAACTGTCCAGAATGCATGAACCCATATATGGAAGTAATTTGCATAAACAGGGGGGAAACCCCCACATATGGAAATAATTTTCATAACTTCCCATATATGGAAGAAATTTTCATAACTTCCCATATATGGAAGTACTTTGCATAACACTTTGTCTTTGCTTACAGTGAGAGCCTTTGAGTTTACCCTGTCTGTGTGTTGCCGATGTATCAAGCACCACTGATTACTTGCCTATGAATTATTTAGATAATCTGCACACCTAATTTTTCATTCATACATATTAAATACAAAATTTGCATAATATCAAATTTATAGTTAAGTTGTAAATTTTATAAAATAATAGCATTTTTGTAGAACACGGTTGACAGTATAATTAAATAATTTGCTTCCTCTGTTTTTTTAACCCAGCATTTTTTGGTAGTTATTGACAACATATGAAAAGGATGTTACCATGACAACATGCAAAGCAACCAGCTCAAAAACTAATATTTCTCATACTTGCAATGTTCATCCATTGCAACTATACCCACTGACCCTAGCAACTAGACTACGACGTGTCTGTCATACACCTTTGTTATTAAATCAAATATTAATGACAGAAACTCTCGTCTCAAAATTAAATCAATTAATAATATTCCAATATGTTAATTCTGATTCTCTCTTACCCAGCTAGTTTTTTAAACCAGAGGAAATGTAAACATGTATTTTCACTTTTAATGTTTATCTAATTTCTCATACAGTGGAGATGATACTATGGGAAAAATTTCCATGGACAAAGAGTTTCTTGATAATAACCCTCGAGGTAAGTATTATGATCGTCACAAAATATATATATTTTATAATTAGGAATCCGATTACTAGTATCTATGTCAACGATTTTTTTTTCTGTTCTGATTTCTTTAATAAGCAGAACATATATATATATGTAATGTATCTGGATATAATGTTGTTTTTATGTTGGCTTAATGTTGTTTTTTTGTTCTTTTAATGTTGGGTTAATGTTGGTTTAATGTTGGTTTAATATTGTTTCAATATTGTTTTTATGTTGGTTTAATGTTGATTTAATATTGTTTTTATGTTGGTTTAATGTTGTTTCAATGTTTGGTAGTATGGTACCCACTGCTGTTTGATTGTTAATTAGTTCCTCTGATTTGTATGAAATTACATGCGTACTTTCAGCGATGGTTTCAGTTGAACAGTATGTGCAATATAT